TACTATATTATTAATTTTGATGTTATTGGAATTTTAGTTTGTAATTGTAGTTTATACTTATATAATTAATTACTTTAATTTCTAATTTTTGGACTTTTTTATGTATAATTGTTTTACGATAATTGTATAAGTAGATCTAGGTTTTTATTAAAGAAGTCGGATATAGGATATCCGACATATTCGATCCGAAAATTTCGAATATCCGACATTTTCGGATCGGATACGGATATCAAATATCCGGATTTTCGGATACGGATATCCGATCTGTGCTCAGGCCTATCGGTCGGCTAGCAGGGAGCTTGGTACTTCGTGATTTTTTTTCCTTTTTTTTTTTTTGCTTAAGGTAGGACTTAGGCTACGGTGTTTATGTTTAATTATTCACCCATTTTTATAATTTGAACTAGTGTATGTTCTAGGCGTTGTACCGGGTTTATGTCTTCACTTATCATCCCATAGATCATAGAGGAAATACATATTTCTCTATCACATAGAGAAACTTCTTAAATGGCAAGTTTTGTAATTATTTTGCTTTGGGTATCGTGACAAATAAATACTCCCTCCGTTTCACATTATTGTTCTTGTTTTCCTATTTTGGAGACCCAAAATGTTATTCCTGTTTCTATTTTTAGATAGTATGTAAAGATCATTATACTGTCATTTTTTTTAACTTTATTCATTGAACTTCCTAACTTACCCTTGAATTTTCCACATGCATGCCTTGTATTTTTTACCAATTTATCTCTCTAACTTTTGTCTACTAATGTACTTCTCACTTTTTTTTATATACTTCATCCACTTTCTCCTCCCATTTCTTATTAAATGTCGTGAAAAATATAAACGGGAACTATAAACTAAGACGGAGGGAGTATTACTCAAAACAACACCGTACCTGACAACTAACCTTGGGTTAAATAACTTAACCAGTCTACTATTGCAATGTTGAACAACGTTAACGGCATAACACAATACTGTTAATATTTTTGGTCAAATTTCGTTTTCGTGTTGAGAGATAGATGAGGTCGAGGTACAAATAGATCGTAGTACAGACACTTGGTTTATGAGCTCCAATATTTGATGTTGAAGAGTCAATTTGGTTTATGTGCTCCAATTTGATGTTTTGAATAATAAAGAAAATTCAGAAATAGGGGTGCTCGAGCGAGTCGATTACGAGCTAAGGGGTGCTCGACTCGACTCGTAAACTTTTTACATGTGCTCAACTCGTGCTCGCTAAAATTTCGAGCCAATAAAACCTGCTCGACTTGTGCTCGTTAAAATTTCGAGTTGAGTCGAGTAGCTCAAGATCTGCTCGTTAAAATTTTGACCCTTCTATAATTATATGCCTGTATTTTTTTTTCACTTTATATTGTTTTCTTTTTTTATAGTAGTATATTTATTATTAAAGATTTACTCTTTCACTTATTAAGTGTCAAATTTGTTTAAACATGGTAACTTTATTTTGTTTGTAAATTTTATATTAATAAAATATATTATCGAGTTGCTCACGAGCTTATCGAGACGAGTTAGAGCTTGCTCAACTCGTGCTCTTTAACATCTCAAGTCGAGTCGAATTCGAGTCGAGTTGAGTTTTGACCGAGTCGAGTTCGAGTTGCTCACGAGTTGCTCAACTCAATTAGCACCCCTATTCAGAAATTTAGTAATTGAGAAAATTCAAAAACTTATTATGGAGGAAATTAAGTGTCAAGCTTAATTCCACCTTCAATAAAGTATATGGTCACCCTTACCTTTTAGGCAGGATTGACCATGCCCTTAATTTCACCATTTCCAAAGGTTTTTTTTTGTTTATATCGGCGGCGGTGGTGCCGCCAATAATAGTTTCATTTTAATGTTGGTTTCCTTTAATGGTGTCGTTTGCAATGTTTAGATTGAATAAATTTGTTGAATTTTGGATTTTTGTATTTTTGTTGCTAAATATTTGAATTTTAGATGAGTTTTATACATGGGCATTTCTTATTTTTGAGTTTTCTGTTTTGTAGTAGATTACTAGTGTGGGTGTTTTGAGGTTTTATTTTGATTAGCAAGGAGGCAGGAGGGAGGTTGACGGTAGTTAACTAGAGTTTCATTTGGTTAACTCAAGTATAAAACAAATTAACAAATTACTTTATGCCTTTTTTTTTTGAGAAAACGTTGTAGGTGCCTTATATTGATATTGATAATTTGTCTATCAAGACATAGGGAGAAACCTCACAAGGGACGTGGTTTTCCCATATCTGTTCAACACCAAAAGGCGTTAAACGGGCTAAGCTATGAGCTACAACATTACCATCACGTTTAACATGACACCAAACAACAGAAGAAAAAGAAAGACAAGAAGATAAAATCTCCTCTAAAATTGCATCAAGGTCCGTGAAGAAGATCGATGCTTTGGATAAGCGGTTGATGAGGACTTGGCTATCCGATTCGATTATAATCTCTGACAAGCCATAGCGCTTTGCAATTTGTACAGCCAACTCAATCGCTTTCCCTTCTGCAATTATTGGAGACCAATGGGCTCTCATTCTTCAGGTCACAGCAAAGAGGGTGTCCCCCTTCCAGTCTCTAGCAATCACCCCCATTCCTACCCAACCTTCAACACTCAACGAAGCATCACAATTGAGCTTGATAATGCCTTTCGGTGGTGCTTTCCAAACTTTGGAGCTGCGCCTTGGATGCCTTTTGATCCCTCCGTATATCCTCTTCATGTAAGAGCTGCAGTCAGTCGCCAGGCGGAGGGTACGCTTAACAATAACAGGGTGGTAAACCTCCTTGCCATTGAAGATCATCTCGTTTCTCCGATTCCATAAGTGCCACATTAAAATCGCACCTCTACTCACCTTCTTTGCATCTAACTTACTCCATGATTCAATTAATTCCAAGAAGGACATACCAGTTGGCCAGACCGACATCTCCACACAATCACACTCCATCCAAAGATCACGAACGGTGTGGCAATCAAACATAGCGTGCCTGATTGTTTCCGGTAGCCCGCACACCAAGGGCAGTCTACTACATCTACCTGAGGTAGTCTCTCACAGGTAGAGTAACCGTACTTATTCGCCATAAGAAGTGACGGACTTTAGGGATAACCTCTAGCTTCCAAATCTCCATCCATGCTTTGTGAAACAGGTCAAGGTTACATGATTTGCCTAGCATGTATGCTGATTTCACAGATTAGCTGCCATCATTCGAGAAAGCCCACATTATAGAGTCTTGGACGACCTTCGGACGCAAGGGGATTGCTAGGATGCTACGAATGTCGTCCACATTGAAGATATTTTCTAAGCGTTGCACATCCCATTGGCGAGTTTCGTGGTCTATTAATTACTTTATGTCCTTCGATATTTAGAAATTGGGCATTATTCAAGATCATGTGATCAAAACTTTGTAGTGACTATCCTTTATTTTTTAATTGAAGAGCTGACATGGACAATTGAGAACATTTAAATGAGGAGAGTGTCATGTGGCATATAAACTTTCTTTATGGCACACATTTTAATATAATAATAATAATAATAATAATAATAATAATAATAATAATAATAATAATAATAAAGTATAGGTTTATTTTTTGATCAAATTTGATAAAGTGTATTTTAAAACACAAGAAGCAACTTGGGAGTTCGAAGCAAAAATGCGTAAAAGATACCCATAACTTTTATGGTGAGTAGTTGAGGTACGGGACATGACTTTTCTTTCAAGGGGTATAATGCAATAAGTAATTTACTTAACTTCTTAGGATGTGCACGAATTTACTTAATTCTACCTAATTTCAAATATTGAATTTACTTAACTCTAACTTATTTCAAGTATTATATTTTAAGGGGTAGACTGTAATACCCCGTAAGTTTGAGAACTATTTTTCCAAAGTATTGTATTTAATAAGGGTACTTTAATAGTCCTAATTATTTGAATTTGGAGTCAAAATGAATTTTGAATTTAGAAACCAAAGATTTTCGAAGTATGTAATTATCAAGTATTTAATAAATATTTTTGGTTTTACATAAATATGATTATTAATTTTTGAATTTTATTATTACTAATTTTCTAACCTATTATCTATTAAATATTACTAAAACAAAGCATGCTGACGTCATCACTGTTCACATGCACTCTCTTAATAAAAAATTTCACGCCTAAATGCAAAGATGATGTCATCTTTCCCCCCCCCCCTTTTTTTGTGAAGCTACCATATTTTAACATATTTGAAATTTGCATATTAGAAGCTTTTACTTTACACTTACGACCTATCAATTTATCTTAAGAAATTGAAATAATTTTAAATAGCACACTAATAAATACCTCCTGCATTGAAATACTCCCCCCGTTTTTAAATACTTGCTCCACTTTTCATTTTCAGCCGGTTTTAAACACTTGCCCCATTTCCTTGTTTGGAAAGTATTTACAATATTTAATTCATTTCTCTCAACTAATGAACCCAACATAAATAATACTACCTCCGTTTTTAGTTATTTGCAACAATCGTCCTTTTTACGCATGCCTAGGCAAAATTTTTAGGAGTAGTTTAGTAGTGGGTAATGGGGTAGTGGGGTATGTGATTAAGTAATTAAAAAGAGAGAGAAACTTTTGCTATATTTTTAGGAGAGAGAAAATGTCATACTTGAGTGGACCCACCCAATTTTTCAGAAATTTTGGGAGTTTCCCTAAGAAAACCCCACGAATTTTTTTTCCCTCCAACCCCAAAATTTCAGATTCCACCCAAAATTTCCCCCCTTTTTTTCATTTAAGGAGGGTATAAATACCACCTGCTGTTTTAATAAGTTCATACAATCAGTACACAAATATTCCCTACTTAAAAACATTAGTTGTTCTACCCAAAAGTTAGTTCTAAACTAACAACCAAAAACTAACAAATCTAGGGTCAGTTGCAGCCATATCTACTTCTTCTTCTCTGGTTCAGCTACAACACATCAGTAAAAAAAAAGCCACCTAACTTCATCACTAGACCTGTCAACTGGGAACTCAGTAACATCAGTACACTCAACATGGCAGAAATTGCACATGATGAGTTTTACAGCATTGACCAAATGTTAATGGAAGAAAACAATATGGACCACAGTGAAGCAATCAACATGGATGAGACTCAACACAATGACAGCAACAACACTGATCATGAAGAGGACTTCAGGAACCCCAAAGGTAGAAAACAGTTAACTGTTTTCCAGAAAAAGGAGCTTGTGGATGCTTATCTACTTAAGCTAGAGGGGGGTGAATTGCCTAGGGGGTACTTATCACAGCAAGCAAAAAAGTTCAATGTACACAGATTAACAATTCTTAGGCTATTTACAGACATCAAGGCACAACTGGCAAAGGGGAATGTCATAGATGTCAGAAGCAAGAAGCTGGGAAAAACTGGTCCCAAACCCAGAGAATACATAGATGAATTCATGCAATCAGCTCCTTTGTACAAAAGGGGAACTGAGAGAAGCTATGCAGCTGCTCTCAACATCTCACATGTCACCATACATAAGCTGAAGAAACAAGGTAAACTCAGAACACATACAAGCACAAATCACCCAGCGCTCACAGCCAACCACAAGTTAGCAAGGTTGAAATGGGTTTTAAACCATCTACTTCCTGCTACAGAGAATGGGAACCCAAAATTTATGGACATGCAACAAGTTGTTCACATTGATGAGAAATGGTTCTTTTTGAACCTAGAAACTAGGAAGTTCTACCTCATACCAAATGAACCTAACCCATATAGGGCCCAACAGTCCAAGAGGTTCAAAGTGAAAGGGATGTTCATGGCTGCCATAGGGAAGCCCATTTTTGACCCCCATGGAGTTGTATTACATGATGGAAAGTATGGTATTTTTCCATTTGTGTATGAAAGAATAGCCAAAAAGAAAAGCAAAAACAGGGAGGTTGGGGTTGTGGAAATCAAGGCCACACAGAATGTAAACAAAGAAGCAATCAGGACAATGCTACTGCATAATGTCATTCCAGGCATCAAATCAAAATGGCCTTCCCTTCTCCCTAAGGACATCTGGATCTAGTGGGATAATGCCAGACCTCACCAAATTCCAAGGGATGAGGAATTTGAAACAGCCTGTCACTCAGGTGGATTCAACATTCAATTCATTTACCAGCCAGCTCAGTCCCCAGACTTAAATGTTCTTGATCTAGGGTTGTTCAATGTAATTCAATCCATACAATACCAATCTTTCCCTAAGAATTTAGTGGAACTCATTGAAAAAGTTAAAGAGGCTTATGCCATGTTCAACCCACTGTCAAACAAACACTGTTAGATAACTTTACAGTGTTGCATGGAGGAAATACTAAAACACCTAGGAGGGAACAACTTTACCCCACCCCACAAAGGCAAAAAAAAGGCTTGAGAGGATTGGGATGCTGCCAGAGCAACTAGAGGTGGACAAGAATGTGGTTCAACAAGTTGTTGATTATCTCAACTCTATATTCCTTTCAACATGTGAAGGGATTGAAGAAGAATAAGGCATGCAAGTAGATGCAGACTGAGCACAAGTCAGACATGTGAACAAGATTTTTGTGAGACTGCCACACATAACCAATGAACAGCAAGGAAGCAGCATGCAACATAGTATGTCATGTTTTTTGGTTTGTTTTTTATTTATAGTATGACAATCATTGGTTAGGTGTATTTTGTTTAAGATGATGGCTACTGATATTGTAAGGCAGTCTTAACACCTTCTACTTAGAAAATGTACAAGTTTTTGGTTCAGTTTATGAAATCAAATGTGGCTGTTTTATTTAGAAGTTGTCGAATTTTAAATGAGGAGACTATGCAAACAGACTAACACATGAATCCATCAGAGGGTTTATTTTTTTTTTCACAGACAATGCATGATTGGTTCCCTCAACAACAACTCACATAAGGAGTTGTTGGAGCAATACCAATTACACAATGTTATGTATCAAATGAGTCCCTTCATCACATGGATTTTACAAGCACACACAAGAAAGTAAGGGAATCTTACTTCACCAGGCAGCACATATCATAGAGTGGGACTCACACAGTAATAGAGATTCATGCCACTAGTCCATCATCATTCACCATTGCACAAACCCCAATGCCAAATGCCTGAGTTGTTCAACATCCAAGTACACCAATACAAAACACAACCTAAGGACAACCAGTCTGTGAACTGAATTGAAGCAATTCAGCCACACAGCCATAACTAAACACATACAACCCCAAAGACAGAATAGGGCATCCAACAACCTAATAAGTTCAAACAATACAACATTCACATCAACCCAACCATACACATACAACAACAAACAACCTACACAGGCGTACAACCATATAAGTAACTCCCAGCCAACCTCTCCATCCATCAACACACACACAGTAACTCCCAAGAAGTTATAACATAGCAAACTCAGTCTCAATAGACCAACACAGAATATAGTATCAATAGGGCAACCAAATAATCTCAAACAAGATAACATTCACCTCAAACCAACACACACACAGTAACTTCCACCAAGTATTAACATAGCAAACTCAGTCTCAATAGGCCAACCAGCATACACTATCAATAGAGAAACCACCATACAATACCAATAGGGCCATCAACATACACTATGAATAGGGAAACTATCACCAGCATAAAATAACTCTCAACAGATGTGAACATGGCATACACAGCATAATTAAGGCAACAAAGTCACAAAATCACATCAACTTCAAATATTCTTCAAACAACAACCAACAATTAGAAGCAAAATTTGTCAGTATAAGAAACAGATCCAGGTCATGGAATCAACATGCAAACAAGGAGAATCAAGGCAAAGCATATCAACCATGGAAACTCAAATCAGGATAACAATCAAGCCACTAGTAACATTAGGGTTTCAGAAAACATGAAAATGAACACTGAAGTAAATCTAGGGTTAGACATGTTTTACGCTGCGAGATTAGTGGGAGCGAGAGGTGAAAGGGTTGTAATCCCCTTCACCTTCAACATCGTCAGACGCAGGGGACTCAGATCTGTGGCGTTTTTTCCCAGCCACAACTTTTGTAGACCCAGGTCCACCATAATCCACCACCTGCTCAACGGATTTTGCCACCAACGTGGCCGCAACCGGGGTTTCTTCATCATCGCAGTCAAGAATCACGATTTCAGGAGGTTTGGTGATGGAACCCTCAACATTTTTGGCCAGATTTGGCTTCGAAACCTCACCAAGCTCCTCATCAGAGTCGCAAGGAGTAAGCTTTGCACCATAACCTCCCGTACGCTTCATATCAAGGTACGTCGCACTACGCGTAACAATTAATCGCATTTTTCCGGTGCGTTTCTGGCACTTGTACGTCGCAACCACGCCAAGATCTGGCTTTTCGGGGTTAGGGGAACTCATTTTTGAAGGGTTTTCAAATTATTACGAAGTACAACAGCCAGATCTGGAAAAGTTAGGGTTTCAAGTAGGAGAGAGAGTGAGGTGAAGGGGCGATTTTTTTCCGAGAAGAAAGAGAGAGTGCGTGAGGGGAAATGAAAAACACAGAATAAATCTGTGTTTTTTCTCGAAGCAACCCAGATGAAGAGCCTTCATTAATGGTGGTGGGTGGAAGAACATTGAATGGGGTAGTTGGAAGAACATTGAATGGGAGATGAAAGGTTTCTGATTTTTTTGAGAAAATAGGAATAGGGTAGGTTATTTTGGTGGGAATGATTATGGTAGATGGATTTGTTTTAGGTTTAATTAATTGTTGTTAAAAATATGGTTATTTTATAATTTGTTTTTAAGGGTATATTGGTAATTTCACACTTAAAAAAGTTACTAAAAAAAGAAAGAAATTAGTTTGTTGCAAATAATAGGACGCACCCCTTTCGGGTAAATGTTGCAGATAATAGTTAACGGAGGTAGTATTTTGTTAATTTCATATTATCTCTCCTTCAATTCTATCAACTACTTTTGCTTTTTACATTTTTTTTATTATTTCACTTACTCCACTACCTCCATATTTTATTACTTTCTCTAATTTATCCTAAAACTCCGCGCATGGAGAAATAAAGCAAGTATTTAAATATAAAATTTTAAAATTACAAATATTTTGTACAAGGTGAAACATTCTGATTTATATTTATGTATAATAGCTATTTTTTTTTTCTTTTAATGTACAAATTTCAAAAATATGTTTTTATATAAATCGTGCATCGCTCGAGTTCAAACCTAGTTTTACAATTAAAGTAACTAATTATCTTTTGAATTTAATTATTCAAATTTAATATTTCCAAAATTATTTGTTGAATAATATTTTCCTGATTACATAACAATATACTATTAATTGTCAAATTACATATTCAAATTCTATCCTTAGTATTTTCGGATTAATTATTTTAATTTAGCTAAATTTTTTTATTTATGAAAAATCCAATAAATAATCATTTATCTAATGATAGTTTGTCTTATAATTTCTGAAAAATCCCAAATCAAAATTCTAGACATTTTCGGATTTCCTCGAAACTAACGATTATCTTATAGGAAATTATTAGTTATTTTCGATTTGTAACAAAAAAAATATTATCTTAGGGTCCATTTGGTATTATAATGTTGTGGTTTATTTTTTATTTTTTTTTTCAAAATCATATGATATATGTCATATAATGAATCAAAACATGGTCAAACTTATTACTATCATGATAATTTTGAAAACTGACAACTGAAAAGTGAAAAAAGAGAAACTTTTTCTTGTTTTATGGTTTTGGTTTTTTTGCTTTAAAAAATTCGAAGAATTAAAAATAAAATACGATGTCAAACAAGCCCTTAATTAATTATTTTCTATTTTTATAAATTATATCATGCATTTATTAATTTTTGGATTTCATTAAAAAAAAGCGGTTTTATAAAGTGTTGGCGGAAATTTTTAATTAAAAAAATTGACGATTTTGTATATTAATTATCATCTAAAATCTAGCTTTTTAATTCTTTTTTGACGAAACGGAAGTCAATACTATTAAGCAAATATTGCCTCAATGTCAAACATTACATTCTCATGAATATCATGAGGGAACTCTTCTAACCAAGACTAACATTTAAAAAAATCGGATGTACAATAATATATTGTACGTCCGCTATAAAGTTACCTTAAAATGATTAAAAGTTACCCTATAATAATGAATGGAAGTTACCAGTGTTTCGGGGTTTTTTGATGTTCTTCAGGAGAGTTACAATTCCAAGACTGACCTCTGGACCGCAATACCTGCAAAACAACGGAGACTCCGGTGGGTAGGAGTTCTGCCTCTGACGATCAAGGTAGAACGTGTATGGGGAGTAAAGTGCGAAAAGTAAAGGGTCTCTCTCGGATTCCAAGAGAGAATTTGCAATGTGTAATTGCTTAGTTCGAGGTGTCAGGTGTCTAACTTTCTCTAATGGAGAGTTAATGTGAATTAAAATATTTTTTAAATCGATGTTCCTCTGAGGGAAACATCTCCCTTTTATAGGGTGTTGGAAAACGTGCCCAGTACTAGGTTTTAGTAAACTTAAGGCTGATTGGGCTTTGCCTGGGAATTTGGGCCGTAAAAGGCCAGCTTTCCTGGTTGGCTATCTGCCTGCCACGTGTCGTGGCCTGATTGGTCCACCTTGGACCTATCACGAGGTGACACGTGGCGGACTCTAATTGGTCCACGTGGATGACACGTGGCAGACTCTAATTGGTCCACGCGTCGGGGAAAAGTCCCCCTAATCATTTGCACCTCATAGGGGTGACGTGGCATGCCACGTGGCGCCTGTGACAGGTGTCACGCCATGATTGGGTAACGGTTTTTACCATTTTTTTTTCTCTCTGTCTCTTGGAATTCATCCCCCTATAAATAGGGTGTCCAAATCATTTGGACATTCTAGAAACCTTTTAAGACAGAACTTTGGCCGCTTGCTCTGACATTTTGGACGACTGCCACTTGCTTACAGTCCGCCTGCTTCTTCAGATGCTTAGTTTTTCAAAAGTTCAAGACTTCTTTACTCAAAGGTAACCGCCTGTTCCCTTTTGCACTTTCTCTTTGTTTTTTCTTTTTTC